ATTGTTGTATTCAATTCTTTCGTTTATGTATATATAAACAATTTGTGTTGTAAGCAGAAGGTATTAATTGAATAATAGTTGACGCGAAATTTATTAATATTATCAATTCGATCAGCGTTCTCTCAACGTCGACGCTCTACACTTACGCATGTCAAATATTAAAACTAAGTGAATGCTAATCAATTAAATTCTAATTAATTAAATCTGCGCAAATACGAAATAATTACATAAAAATTGAATAATAAAAATACTAAATAAATCGGAAATTAAAAATAAACGAAATTATAAATGCGAAATCTAAAAAGTTAAAACGGCGAAAGAAAATATCGCGAAGGTGTTAAAGGAAGGATTTCGAGGGGAATGTATTCAAATAATAATAAGGGCGAGCGTGGAATGTTGAGCTGTTTAAGGATTTCCGGCTTGTATATATAAAAAAAAAAAAAATTAGGCCAGACTAGCGTTCTGAACATTTTGTCATACTGGCACCTTGACAACCTGGCAAATGATCTTCTAAAGACTAACTGCGAATATCAAAAGCGATCTCATGCGAAACTATGGAGATTTCGGGCGGAATTATCTTCAATGTAATACTATCTTTTTTTTTTTTTTATAATTACTATTATCTGATTATAATTGTTTCATTAAAGCTTCGTCATCCCCCAATGTCACAATAGATAATTATTCTGAGCCATTTTGCTTTTAATATAACTATTGGCAAAACAAACCGAAACTAAAAAAAAAAAAAAAATGATGAAAATGCATAATTGATAATTACAGCAGCAACGGTAATCTATCATGTTGTCGCATGAGTTGTACAGCAATGTTCGGAAAGCATTTTCTGTTGATCTACTTTTGGTCATGATAATTCCTTTTATATCCTTATTGAAATTACAAAAGAAATTTTTTTTTAAAAAAAAAATTGGCGTAATTAGCCATGAAGTATTGTTCTTATTGCGATAAGCCATTTGCCGAGAAATTATGGTGTAAAAAATGTGATCCTTGGTGTATAATTGAAGGATGGACTAGTGGAAATTCTGATATTGATAAATTCATCAAAGATACAATATTTGATGAAAGACATATGGTATTTCCAAAATTTCTTGTATGGATGCCTTTTGATAGATTCACAGATATAAAAGAAATAGGTGAAGGAGGATTTGCCAAAGTGTATTCTGCAACATGGATCGATGGTAAATCAAAATTTGAAAAGCAAGATGATGGAAGTTGGAAAAAATCGGTTCCTGAACCTTTGAAAGTTGCATTGAAAATGTTAAAAGGATCAAGGGATCTGTCAGCTGAATATTTTAATGAGGTATTTTATGCGTTTATATTTGATATTGATTAAATTAGAATGTTTCTGATTTGTTTTAAATTTTATTGCAAAGACTAGCTTAAAGCACATTGGGATTTATGGAAAGTAAGTTATTATGCATTAAATAACTAAGGATCCAGAAACCAAAGATTTTATTATGATCGTAGAAGTTGCAGATTTGAGAAGTTATCTTTCATATTTTTAACAATATTTTATGGAAAGATAAAATTAAAAAATTATATGATTTAATTTATAACCTTAATAGTTTACATAAGTTAGGATATTGCCATAACGATAAGGATTTTCATAGTGGAAATATCTTGCAAGATAAAAGATTTTCTTATATTTCAGATTTTGGGTTATCAGGGCCATTAGATAAGCAAATCTCGGATAATAAAATATATGGAATATTACCATATATCGCTCCAGAAGTTTTGAATGGAGGAT